TGTAATCTTAAAGGTAGATGTCCTCTGATGATCCCTACAATATTACTAAGATCGCTTTTGCCTAGAAATTGGAGCTTCTTGATCTGTATCCCATCAGCCAACTTCTGTACCTGATTCACTCTATGATACGTCAGTGAATATGTAGATATCGCCATTGAAACAGTCGGTCTAAGAGAGATTGGTCCAATCTTCTCTACTGAGGAATGTAAACGAACGTGTTTACTTTCTCGTGGGTCTTCTTTTCTCGGTCGCATTGTCAGCTTAACCCATCATCAATAACAAGATGGAGCCTGAAGCTATGTCTGTATGGACGCCTAGCCTGGCCCCGATGATCCGGAATCACGTGTCGGGTGGCCTTAAGCGTTGCCTCATACCTCACTTGCCTGTATATTGGCCGGATGTCGAGGATAGCCTCCAGAACAGTGTTAGTGTTAGAAGCCTGTAAAAACGGCTAGAAGTACTAGATAGTATGTATATTATTTATGGAGTTCTGTACTTTTCTTTCAATTCAATTAGCCCTCTCAGTACAGTATGGAGTTATCAGGTAACACAAGGTTTTTTGTAATATTTTGAACTTTATGGAAATAGCTTGAACTGCAGCCCAACACAAAGTACAGGCATGAGCTCACATCTCCCAAACGTAACTTGAAATGAAATGATTTTTGAGCGATCAGGCGTTCTCAGACGTCAGCATTACTCGAAATTATTTGAAATTATTTGGAAAATACCCAGAGCTTGTCCAGGAAACAGGTGAAAGGTGTTAGATAAAGAAATTGGCAGCGAAAGTGACTTTAAAACCAAATTGTTAATGTATCGAAGAAGATTTCGACATTAGCTATTTTCGATTTCGATATTTTAATGACACTTATTAAAATTTTTTCAAATATTTCACATTTCCTACAAATCCACTGACATTCTAAGCTCATTTAAATGAACTTTCATGACTATTGTGTGGGTCAAGGCATTTGTGACATCCACCAAAATCAGCGCCTTCATACGCGCATCGCGAGTGACAGATTTTAATAACCGAAAGAAAGAGTAAAACACGAAAATAAATGGCTATCTGGTATTAACCTGTTTCTCAAGCAGCAACGGCAGCAGCGCCACCAAATGCCAATTCAAACAAACATACCATTTTGAATGCCGATAACAGACGCGATGCATGAAATTAATACATCAAACAGCCACTGAGAGCTGCAAAGATGCAAATAAATACGTTGCGCATACATACATACATGCACACAAGCGTGGTGCTGTAAATGTGGGCCGAGTCAAAGTCAACTACACACACAGCGCGATAAGTTAATGAAACGACGAACAGTTAACACTTTAATGCTCGAGCACAACATACGGAGGCCAGCCAACACCAACCTCCAGCCTCTCCCAGCTGCACATAAATCAAACGCGTACATATATCAGCGCCGAGAAATGAAATATGTACACAAATATTTATACATTTGCGCACACACACACACACGCACAGCGTCAATTTACATGCACACAAGCGTACGGCTGAGTAATTTGTCAAAAAATATTCTACGATGTAATCAACGCCAACATTTAATTAGATGCTGCAGCGACTGACCGCGGCATATGCGCTTGGCGCGCGCAGTTGATTTCTTACTTACTTCGGCCGCACATAATTTCCTTATTAACATTTCCCTCCTTTGTTTTCAAACCAAAAAAAAGGTTGAAAAATGAAATATGGCAACACTAAAGCGCACAATGGGCTAAGTACACTATTGAATAAAAATACAAGGAAAATGTATAAAGAAGAATAAATCTGGAAGCTGTGCGCATAACACCTGTATGCGCGCCGATCTGCATACCAATAGCGCACAACCGGCTTAGCGGCAACTTGGAGCGGCACTGAGGGCGGTGGTGGCGCAGCGGCGTCTCGAGAACAAACACAAACAATTCGAAATGCTTGATTGAAAATGAAAAGCTTGTTTGTAGGAATTCCTAGCTAATTTACATGTATATATGCTGGCATGGCAGTGGGCGACAGCGCACGTACGCAGGGCGTACAAGCGCGTCTGGACGTAGAAAGAAAGTCATAGCGGTGCGGACGTTGGCGCGCGCAGCGAAAAAATGTAGCTCATTAAAAAACTATAAATTCACTCGTATATGAAATTTTTTTCTGAAATTTCTCAACAAGCGAACAAGCAGCGCTGAGTGGCAGAGGTGTAAAGCAGCTCGAATTGTCGGCGCTGGCCTGCACCCCGCTGTGTACCGCCTGCGCGGCACAAATAAAAATACAAACGTCAACGGTGCGTCATTATTACACTTCTCTACACATTACTGTTTTTCGTTTTGTTGAGGAAAAGTTGCTGCAGCAACCGTTCTAAGTCACGCTTTGTGTGCGCACACAAAACGCCAAGCAGACAATGTCATCTTGTTGAAGACACGTTGAGCGCGGCGACCAACACTACCGCCACGTCAAGCACACTTGCCACATTTGTGGCATTCTTGGCCAGTTTTTTGCGTCTAATGGCCGCTAGCCTGGGAAATAAAAATCACTTGCCACCTGTTAGACCGACTGGTAGAATAAGCGGTTATTTTGTAAACATTAGCATTGCCGCAATCCACACACACGCATGTTAGCAGCGCAAACGCTCAATCTGTGTAGTAATTCCAACTTGGCATTGCTAGCGCATAGCTTAATTCGACCAGTTGAGCAGGTGTTGGCAGCGCGCGCGCACAACACGCCTGGCTTGCCCACTACACTGACCCGCTTGGTAATTTGTCAAATTGTTTAAATATGCATTTGGTGCGTTTGACATTTTACGGTTTATTTATTTATTTTGCCACAGCTTGCGTGTGATCGCCTTAAAATCGCTTAATTCATTTCATGCCAATCGCATGTCGCCGTACAAGTTGCCGAGAAGTTTGCGCTTTATCAGCGGCTGTTGTGCCGCTTGTGCTGGACATTGATTTAAAGCAAATATTATATTTGCAATTTGATACTGATGTTAGTTGTTCGCCAAACTTTGATTTATCACTTGATTGTCACTGAAACACAAACAGAAAAGAAGCTTGACAATCTCCGCCATTAGTAACAACGTGAGTAGGTCAGTTATTTTGAAAATGTCGGGTAAAAGACAACTGCAAAATGTCAAGTATATGAAAATATAAAGGTTAATGCGGTAATGTTACTTTAATCCGTCCGATTATGCTGAGCTCCAAATAGTAATTATCCACCGGTAAAGCTACAAAGCGATAGGACTGAGCAATTCAAATACGTTGACGAAGGTCTGACAAAGTGCATACAGCAACTTCTTTGCAAATCTGGACAAACCACTATTGACCTGATATTCACGATGCGCAAAATCTTGGAAAATACCCATGAAAGGTAGAACGACACACACCACCTCGTTGTCGATTTTAAAGCCACCTTTGATCGCATGAACCTTCTGCTCTTTATCGCTATGCCCGGCTATGTCTGAACTTTATATCCCAGTTAAGCTAATACGATGAGCAACACCAAAAGCACCGTCAGGATCGGGAAGGATCTCCCCGAGCCATTTGCCAACACGCGAGGTTTTAGACAAGGAGACACCCTATAATATGACCTCTTCAATCTACTCCTAGAGAAAATAATGCGTGCTGCAGATCTAAATAGAGAAGGTACAACCTTCTAATAAGAGTGCACAATAGCTGGCGTCTATTTCTGATAGTGAAGGAAGGCAAGACGAAATAGCACATGTCTTCAAACAAAATGTCACTTCATTCGCGACTTGACACAAGTATTTTGGAACCAGTCTTAACCGCAACAAAAATGTCAGCTTCGAAATCCAACGCAGAATCATACTTGCCAAAAGATACTACTTTGACGCGAGTAGGCAATTGAAAAGTATTTTCCTATCTACACGAACAGAGACCAAACTCTACAAATCTATAGATATCATCTGATGAGTCTGCCTTAAGGGTGTTCGAGAGAAAGGTTTTGCGAAGGAATCTTGGCTTGGGCGCATTTGCGAATTGCCAACGGCGAATGCTGCATTCGATGGAACGGTGAGCTGTACAAGACATACGGAGACATTGACTTAGTTCAGCGATTCAAGAGACAAATACTGCGTTTGCTAGGATTTTCTAATAATTTTCTTAGATCCACATAGGTATTTTGCTGAGTCAACATCTAAACTGGTTCGGCCGGCTGTACGGAATCTTTAGCTTTATTTTAACTTTTTCTCGACACTATATTCTCAAAAATATACCCACAATTTCTCAGGTATGTTTCAGGTTCTTCTATACCGATTTACCCAAAATTTGAGAAGAGTTTTCTTTAGAGACTTGTCTATGTTTGGAATCAGCTAGTTAAAAAAGTAATCAAATATTTTCTTAGGCGGTCGCCTCGACGTAAAAATAAACTGTTTTCCAAATTTCTCGTAGAACCAGACATTGCAACATAATTCTAGCCCTTTTTTTTCAAATTGTTGCGTGGGTTGAAATTGTGAGAATGATCACGTGCCAATTATTTGAGATTCCCACTTTATAAACTACTAGTTTTTGAAATCTCTTACTCTTATTATTCTTTTTATTCCTTTTTCTCTTATTTTTCCTGTATTCTTGACATGTTAATAAATATCTAGTGGAAAAATGCATAATGAAAATTTGAATTACCCATTTTAACGACACCACAAAAATTATCTAAATTTTCTGCCTATAGACTAGCGTACTCCCGTTAAGCTTCAAACACACTTGCTTGTCTCTGCTTCTTCACATAAAAAGTGAATCGGAACATCGCTTTTTGAGCAGACTTTTCACGTATTTGCTAATGAAACTATACTTACCATGCTTGCCTCATAAAGTAGACATTCAGCAAAATCGGTAACCAAATATTTCAAATTTTTTCTCCATAAGCAAGACTCAATCAGTGAAATAATTACGTGCACAGTTGTCGCAATATAACTTATTTTGTTACTTCGTATTACCTTTTGACACTTTTTGAACCACTTCCACTCTTTTACCCACCCACTCCCACTCGCTTCAGCATTGTTCTAATAAAAGACAACTACATATCTGTATTGTACTATAGTCATATCATATTTATTATGATTTCTTTTCCATTCATCGTCATTATGCACGCCTGGGTCATTGTTATCATTATCATCATTATAATTATTATTCACATTGTGATTAGTATTAGCATAATTTAAGCTACGAAAAAAACGCTTATGATAAGCAGCGGCTAACACATGCTCACTAAGAATATTTAGATTATCGGTATTTGCAGCATGCACATTTCCATCGTCATCATCATTCATAACATGATTAGCATTATTGTTATTATTATTATTAATATTATTAAGATTATGGTGAATAGCATCAATAACATTGTGATTATCGTAATTGTATGCGTGCGCTAAGCGAGCGGCAAAAGCTAAATTGCCAACAACAGCGGCGGCAGTGACAGCAGCACCGTTAATGGACGCTGCTTGCTCTTGCCGTTGTTGTTGTTGTTGTTGTTGCTGTGGCGTTGCTAGCACATTAATTTGATTAACACTGGCTACTTGATTAGCGTTTGCATTCATTTGCATAGCGGCAGCACGATTATCACCTACGCTCGCTACGACAGCCATATTAGTGTTGTTGTCAACACGAGGCATAATATAATGATTATTACTGTTAATATTGTTGTTATTGATGCTAGGTTGACGAAAAAACGGCAGGCGTATACCAAAAAAATTACGCTTCACATTATTGTCTCTCACGCCATTGCCGCCAGCGTCTGCACCTTCGCCGTCGACAGCGGCAGCAACAGCAGCATCTGGCTTTTCAACAGCAGTGTGCACATTAGTGTCACCGTTATCTTTATAACTAACCCTACGATTACTATTAAGCCTAATGTTATCAATATTTCCAATGTTATTATTATTGTTATTATTATTGTTGTTATCTTCCATATATGTATTCGTATTTGTATTCGCAGCTATTATATTCGTTTCAGCATTTGCTGCCGTATTTTTATTCGTTTTAGCGTTTTGTTGGCGTCCGAAGTCCGCCACGGAAGCGTTCACTTCCGCGGCAGCTTGTTCGTTTTTTGCCAAATTCACTTGTTGCTGTGCGCGTTGAACGGGCTGCTGTTGCTCAGCAACATGCCCATCAACAATGTTGGCAGCAACATCGTTGTCGTTCGTGTCAACATGACTATGTTGTTGATCGTGAGCTATTGCCAGCGTTGCTTCGTTTGTGGCTTCGGTGGCAGCAGCTCGTCGTCGGTGTCTATGTCTAATATGGTTAAGTGTTGCTTGCGTTTGCTGCTGTTGTTGACTAAACTTAAAATCACTATTACTATTACTACTATAATCAGTCATACTAGGCTTAATACTATCACTATTTTGACTAACACTACTCTTACTACGCCTATTGCTGTTGCTGTAGTTATTGTTGTTGCTATAGTTATTATTATCGTTAACATTATCGCTATCGTCGTCATCATCATCGTGACTATGATAATCATAATCGGCGCGTTGATGCGCGTCTTCGTATAAGTAGTTTTTTGGCAAGGCAGGTATTGCATTAACATTATCATTATCATTACCATTATTAGCATTAGCATTAGTGTAAGCATTTAATTTATAATTACTAATTAAATTATTATTAACATAACTATTTGAGTATTCATCTGTTTGTTGCTGTTTTTTTGGCTGCGCTTGCGCTTGCGCAGCCTTCAACTCAGCAACATGTTGCGCCGCGCTCACTGGTATGTCGGCCGTTGCTAGCGCGTGCGGCCGCCGCTCTTGATGCTGATGTCGATGCTTATGTGTTGGCGCTGCCAACGCATCCTTCAGCGCAGCACCCAGTGCTGTTTGATGTAGCGGGCGCGCCGGCGCCTGCTCTCCACTTTCCAACGGTAAGCGCTGCGACGTTTGACGCTTCACCACCATCTCTGTCGCCATTGGTTTGGGTAACGCTGTTTGTGTCACAGCTATTTGTATATCGGCTTGCGTGCCACCAGCCGCACCCGCACCCGCACCACTTGTTGCGCGCGTGCTTGCACTCTCCTCTTCTGTAACCTCCTTTTTCCGTCTTCCGCGCTTGCGACGCGACGCGGCCAACATAGCCATGATGTCAATCAGCGTTGTCGGCACTAGCGATGCGGCAGTGGCTGTGAGCGCTGATGCCGCTGTTGACGCCGTAGAGCTAGCCGCTGCGCCTGCACCACGCGCCGTCGGTGGCGGCTGTTGGCGCTGTTGCTGTTCTTGTCGCGCCAACATTTGCTGACGGTGACGACTTTGTTTGCGCAGCAATTGCTCGCGTTCATGTTGACGTCTGCGCGCCATTTTTGTGCCGTTGTTGTAATGGTGGCGCACCACACCCTTCGTTGACAAATTATGTTGTTGTTGTCGCTTTTGCTGTTGTTTCCGCCGATTGTGTAGACGACGTCGGTGATTCTTCTTTTCAATACTATTTTTATCGTGCCGCAACGGATGCTGTTCGGCGCGTTGCAACTTACGGAGACGCTCTTCCAGCAAATCGCCTCCTTGTTGCTGTGGCCTATTGTTGTTGCCCTTGTTGTTACTTTTATTATCATTAATTCTATTATCTTCACTAAGACTATGGCTATCATTATTATTATTGGTAATACTCTTTGCAGCTTCTGTATGCAGTCCTTGTTGTGGTTGCTGTAGGCTCTCCTGTACTGTGGTGGCTTTTAGTGTGGAACTGTTGTCATTGTTATTGTTTTTGTGGGTATTATATCTATTCCGCTGTATGCGTGTAACTTTGGGTGTATGTGTGGTTGTTGTGGTAGTGGAGATGGTGGTGGTGGTGGTGGTGATGGGTTTACTTGCTGTTTTTCTTGTAGTTGCAGAGGTGATTCTACTAATAGTAATATCTTCCAAACGGCGTCGCTCAAAGAGGAAATGATCTTTGCTAATGCTGCGCGCATGTTTCAGCCGCTTCGGTCCGATGGGCTTAAAACGTTTCGTGAAACCTACGCGCAGCGTTGCATTGTAGGCATTCGCATACATGTAGTGGCCATGTTCAATGCTCTCACTGAAGTGGCAATCGCGAGTGAGTTGTTTCTGTAAAGAGAGAAGAGAAAACAAACCGAAGAAATTAGAATTTATGATTTTTCCTCTTTGGTGACGCTAAAATATATTATAACATATTCAGAAACTCCTCCTATAAAAAACCGTTGTATACGAAATCTTGAAAATTTAATCTTATAAAACTCAACTCCATAATTTAGTATACTAAAGAGAAATATTTTTCGATGTCTGTCATAATTATGTATTTATGAGTGCGTAAATCGCAAATAAATATTAATTTAGTATTCAGAATACGTCATTGGAATTTCCCCTACCAATTTATTGCCTTCATTTTATGTCCGCAAAAATCCTTCCACTCATAAATTTTCAATAAAAATTAATTGTATTTTTTATACTTTATGTGTCTCTATTTTGCCCATCACTCAATAGTTCCAAATAGTTCGGCAAATTTCAATCAATTTGACGAATTTATTGGAGTGATCATTATTTCACTCAAATTAGATAAGAGATCTTATCATAAAGCACACTTGCTTTGTAAAGGCAGCGTGGAGACTTCTTCAGGCACGCTAAATGCGAAGTTTATTATATTTTCTATTTAATACTGCTTTTCAGTGCCAACCACTTCAAAATCACAGCTATCATATTAATTGATCATTAATTTAGTAATACTTTTGTATTAAGATTGGTCGCAAAGATAACGGCATGAAGAAGTGGTAAACAAATATTATTTACTTCTCACCGTTTTTACACTATACTACTATACTGAATATATAACATATATTTGTTCAAAAAATTATATTGTGAGATATACTTTACATATGCAAATTGTGCAAAATGGAGAGTTTGGAGAGTTTGAAAAATTCATAACAACCAGCTGTTTTAAGTAATTTTTAACGACTATAACTGAAATATGCTTTAAAACTAACTATGTACTAGGTGGAGAGTTTGGAGAGTTTGAAAACTTCGTTAGAACCAACTATTTTATGTCATTTTTACAAATGTACTTAAAATATGCCTTTAAAACAGATTGTTTGCTAGGTGGAGGCTTTAAAAAATTCGTTAAAAACAGCTATTTTCTGTAATTTTTAATAACTACGCTTGAAAGTTACATTCAAAATATACTATTAGAAAGTGTAGAGATTTTAGAAATTTTGTATATTGCATAAGTTCCTATACTGATTACATTAAGTTAAAGCTAAATACCTAAATATATTTTCAGTTGCAGAACTAGCATTGTTTATGATTTTTATGTATGTGTAATTTAGCATATGATATGTATCTTCCTATTTCTTTCTTACAGCTAATCTCATATTACTGAAACGATTGCTACTTAATTGTATACAAAAATGCCAAATTTAACTTACCAGTCCCTCCAATCTGCCATGTCGAAAGCACAAAAATCGTCCAACTTGTTTGGCATAAAGCGTAATAAAGAATGGATCGCCATTAAATGGATCACCAACATTATCCATGGTTATCGGTTCTGCAAGAAAAAAAAAAAACAAAAACAAAATTGTTTGGTAAGTAAGAATTTCTTTTAAACTAGGTATACTCAGGTTATACAGCTTAATATGATTATTTAACTAATATGAAAAAGGCAACACGCTCTTAGTAAGCAGCTATCAAAAATTTAACGTCATACTGTATTTCACCTATTTTCATATGATGTCATACGAAAAATATGCATGTCTGCAATCGTCTGCCGCTAAGGCCTACTATTCGGTCATAGCATTTCTCATATGTATATTGATCACAGTTTAAAAATACCTGTGCTACGCAAAAGTGCAAATACTTTAAACCCGCGACTTAGCGGACACATGGCAAAAGAGCCGTTTTCTTGTTGCTTCTTTACCACTTTTGTTGCCATTAAAAGGTATGGATGGGGTGGCTTTTTACGACGAGAATAAAACACACTTGAGATAGTATTCACAGTACGTATACGCCCCGGTGTCGCCATTTCATAATCGTATTGAGGCGAATGCTCTATGTTTAGCAGTGGATTAATTTCCTGGAATCACGTTTAATTATTTGCGTTATCGCCCAAGATAGTGACAGCACTGAGTGGCTTTACATTAAACTTCCTAACTAATGCTTATCAATCCTAATCTCACAAAAATATGTGCTATCATTTTAAATGAAAATGAGAAAAAAAAACTACTAGCTGAACTTGCTTTGTTAAAGGCTATACTTAAATGTTGTTTTACGTACCATAAATATATAATAATAAGAAAAATATATTTTGGAGATCTTTTGTTATCGTAGATTTGCGATTTATTCAACAAAACTAATGTTTTATAGATGATTAACAATATTTCAAGCAAATTTGGCTAGTGTATAGTTTGGAGACTTTGTGAAAAAATTGAAAATGTATCAAGTTTTTAATTTGCTTTTAGCACTTGCTTACAATAACTACAATTTATTCGTATTTACTACTTTTCACCAATTTATACTACGTATCTTTGCATGTTCCGTTCACATGAAGTGTATGTATGTATGTATGCATAATCGTGTTATCTAACATTCGATTCTTAATAGGTAAATGCACACTTCACGAAAGTCAAAAGCCTTTGACACGACTTAGCGCCACATGGCACCAGCAAGTAGGAATGAAAACGAAAACCTCGTATATGGCATAGTATCTAAAATACACACACACACTTATATATATATTTAAATAACTAACCGATCAATTCTCCAATGTCAAAAAATTAAAATGTGTCAAAAATTTGTTCAAAATAAATTTCGAGTCATATAAAAAGCATTTGTAGTAGTCATAGCCATAACAATAATAAGATATCAATACAGTATACATCTTAACAACAACTTAAGGCAACAAAAAGCGCTATGCAAATATTTTATGGTGACATACATACATATGCTACTAGATACTATGGAATTTTATCAATTACGTTTTTTTCCTACATTTTTCTTCGACATTTGATTATTTTATCGCTTGTTTGTAGAAGATTTATCGAAGTAGTAGTGTACGATTTATTTTTAACCTCCCCCTTACCCACTTCCCCTCTTTAGTTTTCGAATGTTTTACTACTTATTTCAAAATAATCAAAACAACAAATATTCAACGTACATATGTACGTACATGCATATGTATATATTATAGTAAATTTAAAATGAGCCAATATGTAAAAAAACAAAGATACAAACAAAGATTTTATCGCCACTGATAGCGAAATACTAGTACGCAAAAAGCTTGTTTTGTTTTGCTTTTTTCACCCTTAATATGAATATTTTGTTTTTTGTTCATTTACTAGTAGTAAGCAGTGATATTAAGTGAAAGCTACTTATTTTCGTTGTCATTTTTTATATATACATACATACATATATCTCTTGTTTGGAGGATAAAGGTTGCTAAAAATATATGTGCGTACCTAAAATCATATACACATTTAATAGCCTGGATTTTGAAAATTGGAGAGTTTGTAGAGTTAAAGGTTTATTATATTTTTTTTACATTTATCGCCTTTTAAAAAAATATAACTATTCTAAAACAATTGATGTCTCTTCAAATGTTTGGAGAGTTTGGAGACTTTTTAAAAAATGTGTTATAAAACATATTACAACTCAAATAGCTGCTTTTAGGTTTGGAAAGTCTGGAGACTTTTTAAAAAATTGTTATAAATCATACTACAACTCAAATAGCTATTTTTAACTGAATTTATGTACATATATCAGGATGTATCAAATAACTAAAAATTTATATATTTTCGGTATACGCGTGACCTCATAATTTTCCTTGAAATATTTTAAAAATTAAACCACATATTCACACCGCGCATACTAATTACTCAAATGACTTCATAAAAATTTAATTGAAATCGTCATCTACATTCTATACAATTAATCATAATCTCAACGTTCGCACTAAAATGCAATGGCAAACCCAGTTAAAGCGTTTAACTTATTTCCTAGAATATTTTCAGTTTCGCTGAAATTCAGTTTTAACGTAGCGACCTAGAAAATCCTATGAATGACAGTAACTTGCGACGTTAATGACAGCGACCGAAAGCCACAAAATAAATAGTGGAACTTTAGCTGCATGTGTGGGTTTTGCACAAACTCTTTACAGAGGAACTCATAAGTAGTATATTTAAGTATGTGCTCCGCTATATGGTTCATATAATCAATGCGTTAATCGGCCAGCGAACCGGTCTCATACTTTTGGTAGTATTATATTTTATTACTGACAATCATAATAAATACAATAATTTCAATTAAACGGGCGCTTAATAAAATCACAAGCATTCAGGAGTTCGCATGCCTATTTAAATGGCTGAGTGTGTGTGTGTGTGCTACAAAACCGCAAAGCAACCTTTAAATTGACAGATGGCGCCAACAGCTCGCACTGACGGCAGCGAAGCAACTCTACAGTGAAATGTTATTCGCTGTAGAGTTGCATTTATTTCATTTTATATTTATTTGCTATTTTTTTCACATAACAACTGCCATGAAGCGACATTCTTGCGATTTAACAGCGAATTTATGTGCGTCCACGAGTGAGGACTTTAAATCAACAGCAATAAAATATTAAATTACCATAATTTAATTAAGTTGCTACAATATACATATACACCAAATAAGACATACCAGACATAAATCTGGAAAAAATGGAAAAAGTTTCGCTTAAGCGCATGAGGACATACGCAGGGCGAGAGTTGAAAGTATCGAAAAAGGTTAGCTACAAAAGCCAAATCAATTAGAATTGCAAAATTGAAGTAAAACAAAATTTCCAATGAAAATTTATTACGCTCCCTCTGCAGCGAGGCAATCCCAATGAAGGCGACAGACGAGCAGTTGTGCTTGGCGTGTAGAAATTGAAATATTTCTTAATTTCTTAATGGCACACGCACACATATTTATAGTATATAGCATATGAAGTTCGCGTGTAGACATCTCCACAGTGTGGTTATTTATGACATTGATTCTCAATAAATCCCGCTGTTTCGGCGAAGAGATGAAAGCTCAATTTAATTCTGAGTTTGAGTAGAAACTGAAACTGAATGAATTTTGAAGCAACCCTTTTTGTTTTTTTTTTTTTGTTTGCTTAACAGCATTTACTCCTAAATTTCATAACACTAAGAATTATAGTTGTAATGCTGAAAAAACTTACGTGCAAAAGCTATGTTAGCTGCAGTCACCTTGCCGACGTCATTTATATGTAGCGCTCGGTCGTTGTGGGTCGTAAGCATTAAGACATAGTCTTTTGCTTTTGTGTAAGCTGGAACTACAAAGGCAAACATTACCTGTAATGAAAAAGCAAGAGTAAGTTTATTTTTTAGCAATAGTAAAGAGCATGCAGCTTAAAATGTATATAAAACTAGTATAAAAATTATTATTCTATTTGGTGAAATAGCAAGTTTGTTTTGCATAAGTTTTAGGCTTTCGATATTCATTTTTTTAGTCTGAAAACACGATTTGTACTGAAAAATTCATGTAACAAATGCAGAAAACAAAAATAAAAATAATTGGAGACTTTCAAAAACTTTCGATAATCAAAATTTGTTGTCTGAAGATACAAATAGTGCTAAAAAATTATTATTAAAAAATTCTCAAAGCAAAAAAAAAAATGTTGCAGACTTTCAACAGCAGTGTTTGGCAAAATTAAGATAATAGTATTGTTAAAGCATTTAGCAAGCGATAAAGCTTGAAAGCTTGGTTCAAAATTTTTGGACACTTTCAAAATTTACCATATTTATATATGCAAGAAAGTGTATATTTAGCAGCATAACTTTCAAAACTTTTCAGAAAAAATTCTCAATAAAGGTACTCCAAATTTTTTTACCACACACATCAGTCCAACCGAACGCGCACAAAGTTGCTAAATTGTTAACTTTCAGTTTCACATTATCGCGCCTTTGTGCACTTAATCCCTGCTTGACATAACCCCACTTTATTGCATCGCGAGCATTATTAAATGACTTTCATTAGCATTCCAGGCGCTATCATAAAACACGTTCTTAACAATATCGCTCTCACTAGTGGCAGCCGATTGCACCATGTACGCGGGCTTAACGCGCTGATATACGTACAATAAAAATGCAAATATTGTCATCGGCGCGCACATTTAATAGCAAGTTTATTAGTCATTATTTGCATAGCCGACAATTAAAATGCAATTCATAAATTCCATTTCGCTACGCAAAGAACAACAAGCAAGGAAAAAACGCACGCTCGAAAAGACAACAAAAATGTGTGAAAGAATAACAAGCAGTGTTCACTTAAACGCTCATTGAATGTGTCACAAAAGGCAGCGAAGACTTGAATGCCGCCTAAAATTGTGACACGGTCCAGACTTTTATACGGCTCGGCAGAACAAAAGGGCGCAGCTCCACTTGCTTGGGATATACCGAAAAAATTCCCACCATAATAATAATTATTAAAATTGGAATAATAATGAAGCAGAAGAAAGAAAAAATCTATACAATATGCTTATGAAATCGGGCAAAAATTGATGATGATGGCATCGATGTTGGGACAGTGAGCGCACGCTGCCATCAGGCAATCAGCACTGTTGCCGATGCGATCACTTGCGAGACGGCGTAAGTGCTGTTGGCGGCTTTGCCATCACAAGCTAATAGCTTGGGTGAGATAGTGTTGGAGATAAAAGAACGATAACGAGTAACTGATTAGTGCAAATGATATGCGCTAGTGCATTTGAAGTCCTAAATTCATGCCATCAGCAGGAAATTGATAAATTTGTGCCACCAGGCGCAGCGGAAGCAATGTGTGAAGTGTGGTACTTCATATCTGTTACCTTAACATATTAGTACGTATTTATTTATTTACATATGTACTGTGTGGCTAACGGAAATGCCTGTGTCTTGTTTCCTTCAGTCTGTCATTCGATCCGAAAATTTACATAATCAAAATCAAAGTGGTAAAAACTAACATCGGCATAAATAAAAATCATGCAGCCACAGCAAACGAACCGCAAAGCACTAACAATATGTGCCTTATAATTATTGTTGTTGTTATTGCTGCCGTTCAAGGCACACATGTTGCAGGTGTGTGTGATTTTTGGCAGTGAGTGCTATATTTTTGCTGACAAGTGTGTAACGTGTCGGATTATAATGTCATATCAATTTTTTATGAATTCACTTTCAACGACAAACCTTTTTTCCGCTTGGTCTCTTTGTATAGCCTCGCGTAAGTGCAGACATGCAAGTCATTTGAGTTATGAAAAACTTGCTTTGAAGTCAAAATTTTGCTAAGTGTACTAAAGGAGTGAAATTCAGTTGAAAAATTGTGTATGCCGTACATTATTGCCTTAAAATAATGCACTTGCTGATTGACTGGCAAACGAAAGTAGTTGCATAAACATGCTGAACGGATATATGCCAGAGTTGTTGTTGTTTTCAGTTTAACCATTTTAAAATGGTTATTTTTTAAGAATTTTTAAATTGTGTTATTCAGTTTTTCGCTATTTTGAAAAGTCTCCAACATTTTCAAAACTCTCCAAAACTTTCAAACAACAAAAATGTGTTGCAATTGAGTTTAAGGACATAATTTTGAGATTGCAGCAAAAAGTGTTAATTTTTGAATGTCAACATATAAAGGTAAAGGCAGTATGCCAAAGCTCTTTTCGACATAACATTGTACTTTTTCGAAATTTCAGTTGTTTTAAATAATATTTTGACTGCTTTTATTTATTTTGAAAAGTCTCCAAAAATTTTGAAACCCTCCAAAATTTTCAAACAACAAAAAATAATCTTTTTTGAATCTATTTTGAATGTCTCTGTTCACTCACAATTAAATGCTGATCTTTAACATTTTGTCGTGTTTTTAAACTATACATATATTATTTATATGATATATAGTATATTAAGTTTTACAAATATTTTCAAATTGAAACAAGAACACAACCAATACCGCAAGAAACACTTTCAAAAGGATTATTTAGTGATATAGGTGACTGCAGGCGACAAATAAGCCTACAAAACTTCATAAGCTTAATCCTTTGTAGCGCCGCTATGCAGAAGTGGCAACTGGACAACTGTATAAAGCACACGCACACCAGCGTTAGGAGTAGGCATATTCACCTTGCTGCCACTCCGCTATGCCAATAAACTACCGCAGTAGCAACAACAATTATAAACAACAGTAGGCATATAGTCCTGGCACAGCGGCACCAACACAGGTCCACAATTGTTATGGCATTAAATGTGAATTTATTGAAATGCGCTCATGTTGAAAATAGATTTGCCAATGTCGCATGATGCCTACACTGCATTGTCCTACAGGCTTAAATCGTTTGTGTATGGGTGTGCGTGGCAGCAGCTGCTGAACGGCAGTCAACGTAAGGCAATAAAAATTCTTGCCGACAGAGACACAAAACGGCGCTCAGCAAAGGATGAAATACACGAATATATATATGTATATATGTATATGTGCCCTGTAGACGAGAGTTGCCGCCTTTTGTTTTCTTGCCGTTCTATTTTGCGTTGGCAATACGCCGCTCATATCAGTAGAGCCAATTTATCTGGCGCTTTAATGTCGCTTTTAAACGAATAATTTAAATTAAGGCCACTTTAAGGTACACATACACTTGTGTGCGTATGCCTTATAGGTCTCCAAGCTTTGCATGTCACAAATGTGCAGGCATAAATTGGATTTAAGGTCAATTTTCAATTAAAATATGCATAATAAAGGCAAAGAATAATATGCTTATGTAAAAAAAAAAGATATTGAACGTGCCGCATAGGCTTCGTGCCAAAAATGGTAAGACGCATGGGACTTTGCGCGTAAAGATAAAAAATTATAATACTTTTGTGCATCGCCATATATGGGCAGCATGTAGAGCTTAAGCTCTGACTACTGATAAAAACGGTTTAATTAAGATCTTTGACACATTAGGCCTTAAACTCCGCTGACTGCCAAAGTTCGCATTTCCTTTGCTTATTTTCTAGCGCCTGAGACCATCACCTATTTTTGTGCCACATTTCTTACATCATCATCTCTCGATCACTCGTATCTTTTCACCTGCGCTTATCGCACGACAGCTTCTCCTGCCACAACACTGAGTCCACAAAGCCCGCGCTTAAGTTTTTCACCTTAGAACTACAAGCCTCTCGAAGCTTAAGAACAAAGTAACGGCCATTGTCCTGCTACACTAGCGCGCGCTCGCTCACACCTGTGGCGCAGCTAGCGCTGAATTGCAACACGCGTAAGCCGTCTGCTTTGTGTACAAGCTTAAGCAATATGATTGATTACACCGAAAATGTTATCTTTTTTTTGTTTTTTGTAAATTTTCTAGTTTACAAAACACCATTAGGCGCTATTGCAAAATGTACATACGTATGTGAGTGTGCATTTGTGTAATTACTACGTTGTTTGCTTTGACCAGCGCAAAGTGTAATTAAAATTGATTTCTGTACATAAGCTTTCTTTTAATGCCTGCCAGCTTAGTGGGCTTTTTAGCGATAGGGGTAGTGCCTGCCATCTCTGTGATTCCATCAAACAGCAAACAGTGGAATTTTTCATACATACATATTTAAATATTTACAAAAAAAACTACTACCAACACTATCACGCCTTTTTTCCTAACGTATCATGCATCTAGCACTTTGTTATTGCATGAAAATTGATGAATTCACCGTCAGTCTTTTTTCTTTTTTTTTTTTTTTAATTTGCATAACTAATTGATTGCTTGTTTGAGTTCAGTAAAATTGTTTAAATATTTTTTCGCTATCAAATACTTGACTAGCATTCCTTTCCGTATTCGTAATAATAAATAAAACTATTTTAGGTTATGTGCTGTTTTCCTGCACCTTAAGTATCCATAACGATTTTACGATTTGTAAAGTTTTTGAGTGCCTGTTGTTTTAGGCTTCACGCGTGAAAATGCTGAACAACACGCTCAAAATGGTTTATGATATCATATATTGGTACACTTCTATTCAGCCATTCTTCAGCCACGAAATCTTATAAGTAGTGACCATTTTTTCATTTTGACCATGTGTAAGCCATTATGAGTGGTTGGTTAATGTGTAGGGATTTTCGTGTATTTACTCCTTCATTATTGATACGCGTTGATTATTGGAAAGTTCTGCGTGATGTTGCTTATATAGTTAAGTCGTAGTTTTGGGTACTTTTACTATATGAAGATGTCAAGTGTTCTGGTTAGCAAATATGTATGTTATCCTAGCGATTTTAAGCGTCATTGAAAAGTCTTAAACAGGTATTAATAAACTGCTCATACCCAACTTGTGATGGCTTAGTACAAGCAGAAATCTATGAAAATGCAAAATGTGTGTTCTTTCTGATGATTGATATGAAATGTGCGCATTAAAGCTACTTTTCATATTAAAAACATATTATCATTTAATAAGTTTGACGAACTTTTTATATTTTTTTTTTTTATTTTTATGTTTTCAATATATCGTCACCTAAAATGCTAAATAGCGTAACATCACTTTTCATAACTTTACAGGTGAAGAAAAAACGATATAATACCCATTATTCCTATTGAAAGTTGTGGTTATAAAATGGTTATCATATCCTCATATTGAAATCAAATTTGAGTTTTGGTTATAAAATGGCTATGTATTGATTATTAAATCTGATAGAGATTTTCGATTTGTTTTTGATGATACGCTATTTTAGGTGGCTATATGTAGATACACATATATGGTTCGTATTTCTATGTATGTCTCAAGCATTTAAAAACGTTTACTTTCCATTTCCTTTTTAAATGCTTGAAATATACATGCACACATATACATATGTTTCATGGAATAATAAATTATTATTTCAAAACTTAAATTTTTCACGCTCTACATACCCACAGTCACCTAATCTAGAGACAACCAGTAGTAGCAAAGTTCGAATCCAGAATATTGTTCAAGTAATTAAACACCCGCTAGGTGTCACAATATCCGCTATATTCGACACTCTTCCAAATATAAAAATAAGTAATTAGAATAATCTACGACAAAATGATGACTTCTCTGACCCCACAATTCTCAAGTAAAACACATAAATCAAATTTGAATTGTAACAAATCCGAAACTCATTGCAGAAAAAAAAAATTTATTTTTCCAAAAAATTATTGATATTTCAGAAAGCAAAAAAAAAAAATTTAAAAATAATATAAACTAACAACAACCGATAGCTCTTCCAAAACTTGTGGCAGCACAAGCTGAGGACATTAATCTAAGCCGCTTGAAAGCACTAAATCTCTAATCAGCTGAAACGCGCCGCTCACATAGTAAATAAGAAAATTATCGTCATCAAATTAACACTTAGCACCGAGCTGAGCAGCGCTGATTGCCTACTATATAAAAAAATATTTGAAATATGCAGCGAAAAACCAAAAACAAATGGTTTCTGTTGTCACACGCTTTTTCTGCCGAGTCTTCTATATTTTTCAGCCATTTCGTCGCCTACAAGCGCGAAAAGCATGTTAAAGCTCATCTCACTTTGTTCACTTATATATACATATGTACATATATATTTGTTTTTCTTTTTTTTTTCAAGCCATAGTCAAAGCTTGCTACGCTTATTAGTGTTGTGGTTTGTTGTATTTAATTTTGTTAATTTATTTGCGCTTTCTGTTTTGTTTTTAATATCAATTTTTATTGCAGTCTGCTTATGTTCGCTTTGTCGCAGTTCAATGGCGTTCAACCCAGCTATTTCGAGTGTTCGAGTAAATACTACTTATAGATATCGAAACATATATTTTTGTTGTTGCTTTTAATACAAATATGTAGCTGGTGATTGTGCTAAGTGGCGTTGGGGCGCATTGTTGACAAGCGCAATGAGACAAAAATTTATGTTGAGAGTTATTAGTGATCACTTATTTTGATAATCGGGTGAAGCAGATGGTCGCGGCATTTTTTTGAAAGTATGGGATTTTTTCTAAATTTTTCTAATGGTTTTTGTTACCATGTGCACTGTTATATTGTTATATAATAAGTCATATATGCATATGCAATTAAAAAAAAATTTAATAGAAATTGAAAAAAATTTTGTAAGTTTTAATTTGAAAAAATTTAAATAAAA